CTGCATGCCCTAGACGCTGAGCGAACTGGACTTTCGCTGCGTGTGCAAGTGCAAGTACTACTCCTGGTGCTGCTGCTGCTGCTACTACTGCTACTGCTGCTGCTACTGCTACTGCTACTGCTACGACGACTACGACGACGACGACTAATACTACTACTGCCACTGCTGCTCGCTGTGCAGCTGAAGGTCCGTTAGCGGAGCGCGGTCCGGGGTGGAGGCTGCGAACCTCCATAGGTCGTCAATGGCCGCCGTGAAATGTTCCTGCTGTAAGAAAGGGCCTTACCAAACAGTGTTACTCGGATTGCAGGGTGGCATTTGCCATAATTGTAGTTGCGACATATGATCATATGGGGAGTAGTACAGGGATACCATTTCTCATTGCTCATTATTCAGACCGCTTAGAGCTGTTACGTTTTAGATCGGGCGGTCGACGCATGTCTTTGGGTAGGGGGGACCTTAGGCTGGTTAGGGCTTCAGGGCTTTGCCTCAAGCCTCAACTTCGAGGGTTGCAGCAGGGTATCGTTCTTGACTTGTTTAGGATTCTGGGGTTTTAGGGTTAATTGTGGGGATTTAGGTGAGAGCTTGACGGCTTGAAGGGAGTAGTGTGCAGAGCTTCAGGGTTTATTTCGTGCTCGCAACACAGCAAGCCCAAGAACAGAAGAGACATGCAAGGCCGTCTTGATGGCGAAGTTCCTGAATACTTTACTGCACCATAAGCTTACCCTGCTGCTGGCTTACAAAAGCTTTCGTGTGGGAGTAGGTCCGGATAGTGCTGCTGCCTGCCAGGAACGTTTCCAGGTTCATGGGTATTCCACAGCAACATTCTATCCAGCACGAATGCAGCTACAAACGAACCCTGTAACCTTGACCATTAGACGTGCTTACGCAAGGCCATCAGATACGCCTGCTTGTAGAAAGCCGCCGACCATGTGGACCAGTCGGCCTTTGTGTAGTTGTGACCTCAGCAAGATAGCCCGTGCTCCCTGGATGTTTCCCCATTCTTGAGCTCTCAGCAACACTCCTCTGAAACATGAGTGCAATCGAAACCATGTGCTTCGAGCCCTTGAACGCCGAGACTCGAGACAGCGAAACCCCCACGGTAGAAACCGATCGGTAACGTCTGGAGCTTTGAACCCATCTCTCTCCAAAGAAACCCTGAAACCTAAATCCCTGAGCCCGGGTGGCGATCGTCCAGCGGAATGCCGTAGCTCTGTCCTTGGGCCGCAGGATCCGGCGGGAAGCGAAGTCTCGAGTCCCACTACGGCCTAATTCTCTTTTTCAGCGCAGATTCCACGGCCTGAGGATGGACTTCGGGGTGGTGGAACTCCCTAAGAGCCTCAAAACGCAAGAAGGGCTTGGCCGGGGGTGTAAAATTTTACCAGCGCCTCAACAATCTGTAACTAACAAGTCCTGGACCATGCGAAAGCCCTGTATTTCTCTTCAGGCCCCTTGTAGGGGCGGCTGTCTTGGTTTTGCACTTCAGATGCCCGAGGCCTGAAGCCTTAAGCCAGTACGTGTGTCTGGGACGTTTTGCAAGGAATCCGCTGAACAATCCTTGCGACTTGAAAGAAGAAGCGGAAGGAAAGCAGATGAGAACTCCAAACGAGCTGCTGCTATTGCTACAGTTCGTGTTGTTGACCCGCAACTGCCGTGTGCTTTTTCTGTTGCAGCCAGTGTCAGGGTCAACACCACGAAGAAGAAGAACATGTTGATGATAACGGAAACGAAGAAATGAGGATGAAGATCAATGTGGAGACGATAAGCATTAAGATTTAGATCGCCACAAGGTTTAAGTAGAAGATGTAGACTAGGTGGTGCTGGTGCTGCTCATCGTCGTCCTGCTCGGAACAGCAGGGCTGATGGCTGAGCACCCCCGGAAGATAGGTACGAATGGGCCTACACTTACAGACCCAGTTCCCTCCATCAGAAGATGGTTGCCAATGCTCCTCCCAAAGTCATGTCCATCCCTCTTTCAGAAACTGGCAAGAATCCGAGGCCCTAGGCCTACATGGTAGGATCCTCAGTAAAGGGATCCCGAAAAGAGGCCCCGGTTGTTCAGAAACTTCATGTGAGGATGAGAGTCGACGGGTTCCATACTCAACGGCCTCCTTCTCGAAAACCTGACAGGGTTTAGGGTTTAGGGTTTAGGGTTTAGGGTTTAGGGTTTATTGTTCAGGGCTTAATTAGGGCCTAGGGGCTTAGGGTGGGATCTCAATGATGTCAAGGTTTTCGGTGTTGGGGGGGGCCTGATGCGTCCCTAAACCCTAAACCCTAAACCCTAAACCCTAAACCCAAAACCCGAAACCCTAAACCCTAAATCTTATGCGTGTGAGGCTTAAGGCTCGCGGGCTTTGCGCCTTCCGATCGGCTCAAGGATTCGGCTTTAGGGTTTAGGGTTTAGGGCCTGGAGGGCATTAAGGCTTAGCGTCGCCTGAGATAATGCCCACTGCTTCCAAAGCTTGGCGAGGCAAGCATGTGGGTAGTTCTCTAAGTTAGGGTCCCTCTTAGGGCTCCTTTTTTATAAGGCTGCCGTACTATATTGGGGACCCAAAACCGGACCCTACTTTAGAGAAATACCCCATGTGCACGCCTTCGGGCCCAGCAGCTCGCAGCGATGCCTAAACCCAGACATCCTGAGGCTCGAAACTGCGAATGTAGGGGCCGTAATAATTAGAATAGGGTTTTGGGGGCTCCTTCAAAGGGTTCCTAAAATTGTTCTATAAGGGCTACTATAAGGGTTTAGGGTTTATGGGCCGTAATAATTAGAATAGGTTTTGGGGCCCATTATACTATAGTTATAAGAAGGAACCCCCAAAATAGTATTGATGGCAATTATTTAGGCCCCTACATTAATAGATCTGGACTTGACATTCTTCATAAGAGCCCGCCCGCCCTAACCCCTAAATCCTAAACCCTAAACATCCTACATCCTCGTCGGCTATGAACATAAACCACCATCTTCTTACAGGATGCAGTACGGTGAACACGGCAACATAGTTAAAAGTACGTGTAACGCCGTAACACCTAATTCAACAAGTCTCATACTTCTTTGAAGTAGTTAGAATCTAACTATAACCGCAGGTTTAGCTTCTATACGACTCTGCCAGCACCCAACAGGAGCCCCTGCCAAGGCTCTCTGAAACTTCTTTAGTGCCTAAACCCTAAACCCTAAACCGAGCTGAGGTTGCTGCACTGTCGGGGAAGAGGCCTCAGCCGACCCCGCAGCTGTCGTTCCAAATTGGAGCTCGTCGTAGGGTTTTGGGGTTGTAGAAGTGTTTAGGGTTTTTAGGGTTTAGGGTTTTGTGGAAGTGTTGAACGGAGTAATCGGAATAAGCTATGGCTCCTGTTCATCTTTTCTGCAGGAACTAGAGAGAGAAGTCTACTAATCTTTAACCATCACAGAGTGTGCTAAAACTGTCTCGCTTCTCAGCCAGCCCAACAGGGGGTGTGGGGGGGGGGGGGATTGGGCCCAGCATGAAACGAGGGTGCCCAGCAGATTGCTCCGTTGTTCTGGTGGTAACTATACTCTGCTATGGTTAAAATTACTCAGTATCTGTTACCAGGGGACTACTCATTCAATATTGTGAGGCTGTCGGCATGCTTACACAGGTATGTCAACATGAGACGTGGGCATGCCAAGTAGGGCTGTCGCCGATTGTAGCAACTTAGTAGCATGAAGCAGCAGGCGCCAAGGAGGGCATGGACGAAGGCTCGATAACCCTGTCCAGCGCCGAAACTGCATCGTGCTTAGGCTAAGACTAGGATTGAGGGTTTAGGGCTTAGGGTTGAAGAAGGAGTTCAAGCACTCTGCAAAAGAAGAGGTCTTGTGTGGACGTGCAGTGTCGAACAACCAACTAACAATTTCAGCGTAGCAAGCAGCGAAGCAAGACGAGAATTGGGCAGAAAGCAGTACAAATCGTGAGAGGTGAGACACCTGAATTGTACACACCGTTCTCCGTAGTAGCAACCACCTTCGTGAACAACAGCATCATGTCGTCAGTTTCCTGGCCATCACCATCAACCGCATCAGCATCATCATCAACAACAACATTATCATCACCATTATCATGCTCATGGTTACCACCATGTTGATGATGATGATGATGATCATCATCATCATCATCATCGCCATCGCCATCGCCATCGCCATCGCCGTCGTCACCATCATCATCCTCATCATTACCAGCATAATGATGGTGATAATCATCGTCACCGTCATCATCCTCACCATGGTCATTATCATCAGCGGCAACATCATCATCACCATCATCATTACCATCTTCATGACGATGAGCATCGTCATCATCACCATCATCGTCATCATCGCCACCATCATTTTCATCATCATGATCACGCCGGTGCCGTGCAAACGATCTACAGTGACAGTAGAAACTTGCCTCATTGCCTAATATAGGGGCCTTAACCATTACAAAAGGGCCTAGGGGTATATTATGCTATAGCTACACTAAGGAACCCCCAAAATAGGATAGGTACTACTACTTTAAGCCCCTATAGTCTATTCTTCATTGCACGACGAGTCGCCGTGGAGATCCAGCACCTTCTGCCATACCAGATTGTACTTCCTCGGCTGCCAAAGACGAGACATCCAAGTTGCTAGGGTTTAGGGTTTAGGGTTTAGGGTTTGGGGTTTAGGGGGCGTAGGTGTTCAAGCTTCGTATCACTGAACTGAACCTCAGACTTCCGAAGACCAGCTCGAAGCAACACAAACGGCCGGAATTGCACGCCTGGTGTCTGGGACCAGGTTCCAGGAAGATCATATTGCCTTCGGAAATGGTCCCCTGCCAGTTTAGGGTTTAGGGTTTAGGGTTTGATGGTTTAGGGCCCCTGACAGCCCGTGTATGAATCTTGAACAACGCAGTCAGTCAGATGAGTCATACATTGGGTGATCACTGCTCTCTATGATTCTCACACACCGCACCCCTTCTTCTATGCAGCTGCTGTTAACCCTAAACGAGTCTGCTCGATCACAGCTACAAGCCGGTTGGCAAAGGCACAAGGCAAAGGATAGGATGTAGCGGGTTCCCCTCACGATGCTGGCAGACGCTCGTCATCACAATGAAGAAATCAGAACCCGAAGACGCTCCGTCCCAAAAGCACGCACAACGATGCCGGCAAGACCGTCAGCTGCTCCATGCAGCCAATCATTGACGAAGCCCTGACCCAAGACGGCTGGAGTAAGGGCTGTGAGTTGGACCTAGAACTTGACTCCAGACCCCGAAACTGGTAGGCCCTTAAAAGAAAAGCCCACAACCCTAAACCCAGTTTTAAGCTCTCTCAAGGACACAAAGCCTACAACCCTAAACCCCTTAACCCTAACCACAAAACGCCTTAGCCCCACTCTGCATCGGCTTGACTCGTCCCACCTGCGCGAGCTTCTGATACTTGGCCGACTCGCTCTCCTGTAGTTTGAAAACACGCGGATCACTTCATAAACTTCGCCAAGAAAAGGTGGAACCCTGATGATGCAGACCAGGATGAGAATGAATGAAGAAGACGGTGATGTGGCAAGAGCAACATGATTTGGAAGGCCGTTATCATAATGATGATGATGATGATGATGATGATGCTTATTACCCTCATGCTAATAGTTTCGAACCGGGATGACAACGAGAGTAAACAGGACCATGACCTCAGACATGAGTGCTGGAATGCCAACACTGGTGCCACCATCACGAGTCAAAACATGCTGCCGACTATCATTGAAAATGCGCAAAAAACCCAGCCGCCTGCCCCGAAAGCTTGAGCAACTCTGCGTAGGCCGCAAGGGCCACGATGCCCTTTCCAGCCTGGGCAGGTGCTAGGGCTAGGGGCTCAGGGCTTCAAGTTCCGTGCCTTCTTGCAGTAGGCTGCAGGGCTCCTTCGTCCAGCTTTCGAACTCCAAGTTCGATAATATCACATACGCATCGAGGTTGCCACGAGCGACACCCATGACGCCCCGCATCATGGCCATCGCTTGAGGCAACCTCGATGCGTATGCCATGCCCTGTCTTCCTCTTTTCCATAGATGACATGCTGCAGAAGTGGATGCAGCTCCCCAAGGGTCCACTTGCAATGTGTTGCGGCAACCAGCTGTGCATGTGCACATTGCGACTGAGAGAGCTGGATACGGCAGTGGGAGAGGTCTGTACCCACTGGTTTTGACACTCCGGGCGCTTAGGTTTGTCGGCAGAGCCGGCTGCCATGCAAGTTCATAGCTCATGTTCACGCTTGCGACTTGCCGAGTGATTCTCTAAATCACTCGGCAAGTCCGCAAGCGTGAACATCAGCTATGTGATGCGACCTTGCTGTACGGGAAACCCCTTTGTCGTGGTATATTGCCTCTCTGAAGCTGCAGAGACAGCGACGTCTACTGCCTGGCCGCCAAGCATGATAATGTTGCTCATTCACCAGAGCAATGAGTCAGCCGCGGCTGCGGTGGTATTGCAGCTTCAAGATGCCACTCCAAGTGCTAAGCCACTAAGCATGGCCTGCTGGGGATCCAAGCTTACTTCTCGAAAAAATCTTGGGTTTGGGAGCCGATAGCAGCATCCAAAGTCTATAGGGTTTAGGGACTACGGATTTACTCCGGCTTTGTTCGGGCGTCTTGTGGCACCGAAAACCTGCCTGCAAAGAAAAAACTCAGCTTGTAGGCGAGCAGCAAGATTGACATTGTGCGGGTTGGGGCCCTGCACAGGCTGTCGCAGAAACGCAAATCCATGAAATTGAATCTTTTCACGTGAAGGAACCGTAGCAAGTGTCCTTTGATCGTTTCTGTGCTGGTTGTGATTGAGGCTGCTGGGGGTGGTGGTGGTGGTGGTGGTGGCGGTGGTGTTGGTGGTGGTGGTGGTGAAGATAGAGAAGCAGCGAATCTGATCACAAATATTCGTAATGCTCTTCTGTTCATGCCAAAAACTCTGACGACGAACATGACCGACAACAACAGCAACCACCGCCACCGCCACCGCCACCGCCACACCGCCAAAACGCCACACCGCCACCACCATCACCAGCACCAACACCAACACCAACACTAGCACCACCACCACCACGACCACGACCACGAGCACCAGCACCACCACCACCATCACCACCACCTACAACAACAACAACAACAACAACAACAACAACAACAACAACAACAACAACAACAACAACAACAAACAACCAACAACCAACAACCAACAACAAACAACAAACAACAAACAACAAACAACAAAC